TAGTAAAACTAGTTGCTTTTAACACTTTTTACAGCTGTTTCAGATGTTCATAAAGAGGTTGTTGGTGTAATCAGTTGTTCCCTCTTGTTGCACATCTCTTGGTCAGGTTTTGTAGAGTTGAGTTTAGCTGACCAGATCCACCTGCTGAAGTGCTGCTGGCTGGAGATCCTGATGCTGGGCCTGATGTGGAGGTCCGTGGATCATCCTGGGAAACTTATCTTCTCTCCAGACTTTAAACTCAGCAGGTGAGAACATTTTCCACAACCTGTCCCTCTGTCCTGTTAGTGAGCAGCTGATATGTCTTTTAGAAGCAGGACGTTTGGCAGATTTCTGCTGGAGCAGAGTGATTTTGGACTGGAAGCCATGCCGTGACTCTTTACACAGCTTTAAAAGCTTTTGTTAAGTTGGCCTGGGGCCAGCAGGCAGCTGTTAAATCATCTGTTTCTGAGAGACAGGACAAAGATCCTGTTTTCTGCTCTACATTTTGCCGTCGTAGACTAGCAGAAAAGGTTTTCTCATTCTTGGAAATTGTGTATTTGTGAGTCGTTCTTTGTCACAATGCACAAGAAACTTGTGTTTCTGTCTTTCCACCTGGTTTCTTAAGTCCTATGCTCCAAATGTCATTCCACTTTATTAACTCCAGGTCAGATGAGCAGCAGAAACATGCACCAGTGCAGGCAAAACAAAATCATTTGTACTACTTTGTTGGAGAAGGTGTTTCAAATGTTTTCATGGATGAAAATAAAAATTTATTTAAACTCATTTAAAAAGAGTAGGGAAAAGTGAAATGACTTGTTATTTTATCATTAAACTATGTCATTAAACACCTGGGTTTCATCAGAGTTTGCATCAATTTCCTGCCTAAACTTGGCAGCCACTTCCATCAGGACAATATCATTCACACAAAAACATCCAGATTTATGAACCTGTGCTTCTGCAGAAATATTATTACATTTTACTTGATAAACCTGGAACCATTTCAGAATACATCCCAATGCTCCTCTCTGCACAATAAAATCCCATGTCTGCATGGGGGTAAAGGGGAGTTTCATAAAATAAGAGTTACAGATGCTCCTCAGTAAGGTAGTGGGGAGTAAAATGTGGGTTTGGCATCAGTGCAGGAGGAACAGAGTCAGAACAGCAAATACAGAAGAGTCTGACCTGAAGGTGGAGGTGAAGAGGAGACATCCTCCCAACACCTCCTCCAACAATAGTTTACCTGATTACACCCATCTGTTTAYAAAAATCTAGAAGAGAGTCAAGTTTGGTCTTTAAAGACCTGTCCTCGTGTTTATTGACATGGCGTCAGTAAACAGTCACTCGGGGACTTGGTAGAGCTGAAAGTCTCATTACTAAATCATCCCTGATGTGCAGAAGGACTAACACATGCAATAATACATAAACACATGGAAAGACATACAGCCCAGTTCTGGTATTAAACTGGTTTCATCAGAACTGTGAAAACTGAATATTGGAAGAAATGAGAGGATTTGGGAGCACTGAGGGCATTTTGTTGGCATGGTTAGGTCAGCCTGCCCCTCTTTAAGGAACTGACTGCAGAGAAAGTTTCCCTAACTTCTCTCACTGTGGTTATTGTCTGTGCTCACTGAGCATGAATGGTTTTATAAAACACAAATCATATCAATCAAATAAGATGGCTTCTTTTCACTCACCAGTTCTCACCTGAACACCTGGCTTGTCTTGAATAAAGGCAGTTCTGTTCCATCCTTCCTGAGGCCGTGCTTCAAACTCTGGATGATCATTGTTGTCTGCACAGGTCAAGTGTTACTGACTTATCAGTATTTAACCTGGTCAGTCCCATTCTGATCACAGATCTCCTTTTCAAAGGAGGCCTGGWCCTGAAGGCAACCTCCAGGTCTGAACTGAACCTAGGTTCTTCTAGCTGTGAGCCATCAGTGCTAACCACTGATCCACCGTGCTGCCATGAGTGTTAATTACAACAAAGTCAGCTGTGACCCGACCCATGTGAGTTTAGTCATGTGACACCTGGTACTCCCTTTGTTCTTTTCACATGCAGGTGTGCAGAGTGCAGGTGTGCTGAGTGCAGGTGTGCTGAGTGCAGGTGTGCTGAGTGCAGATTTACTGAGTGCAGATTTACTGAGTGCAGGTGTGCTGAGTGCAGATTTACTGAGTGCAGGTGTGCTGAGTGCAGATTTACTGAGTGCAGATTTACTGAGTGTAGATTTACTGAGTGCAGGTGTGCTGAGTGTAGATTTACTGAGTGCAGGTGTGCTGAGTGTAGATTTACTGAGTGCAGGTGTGCTGAGTGTAGATTTACTGAGTGCAGGTGTGCTGAGTGTAGGTTTACTGAG